CTTGGGGTGTCCTTACTCCTTCTCTAAAGCTACCCTCCCACCACATCGTTGCTTACCCATTCTGGGTCTGACCTCCATGCCTGCTTAACTCAAACAGAATGGCTTCTTAAAATTCCCCTTCTCATCTTTATTCTCCCCCTCCAGGCAGCTGCCAAGATTTACAGCTTGTTTCCCCTACTGTTTGTCTTTTAAACTCTAATATTATTACCTTCAAGCTTCCATTTGAATCTGTTATTAAATTATATTCTTAAAGAGACTAACAACACCAAGAGGGGACCCCTGGAGACCCCTGAATCATCTGGCAAAGAGGAAGGAACTCTCCCAAACTTCTAACAGAACACTGGTATCAAATGTCTGCAGGTGGTTGTTTATACACACACACACACACACAAAGCTACAATACACGCATGGGCGGAAAGAGGTTTATTTACACTTTGAGCTAGAAATAGGAAGAAAATATTTCTCATCTTCATTCTGCTTTGCCTGTAGCAGTGTTACAATTTATGGGAAGGTGAAAGACTTGGTAGGAAATACACATATGTGGATGGAGCTGTGAGATGAGAATGAGAACATTTTCCTGAGAGATGCCTTTTTTTCCCATTGTTCAGCCTCCAGATCCCACCTTCTGGTGCTAGGGCAGTGTTCTCCTGGAGAAATGTCAATATTTTAGGGTGTCTCTCATACTGTTACAGGATATGAAAGAATGAACAGAGAGGAGAAGACAGAAGAAGAAGGAAACAGAAAGAAGGCATGTTTCAGGTTTGGACACTGAAGTGGACTGTACTCATAAAGCAGGACATTGAAGTCAGCCTCACTCAGGGGTAAAAGATTTATTAGAAGAGTTATTAACAGGATGGAGAGCATCACCAGAGAAGCACTGAGGAGACTTCTATCCCCTGTGGCAGAGTGAGCGTCACTTCTCATAAGCTTCCGAGGGAGCGGGAAGGTCATTTGCCTTGTTGTTGATGAATAGTCCTCAGTGCAAACTTGCAATCGTGCCGTCTTTGATTTCTGGGACACAGAAGGAGTCTTGCATTTCAGAAAAAGGATGTGTGAGCTTGAGGATAAGACAAGGTGTTGGGAGGAAAGGCAAAGTTAGTTAATGTATGCTGAACCTATGGTTAGCTACCAGTAGTCCTCCCTGTCACGTGATTGGCAGCTGGTCTGGTGACTAACTGGAGGAAGATGGAGTAGAAAGAGAGAGAGGAGAAAGAGAAAAGGAAGATGTCAGGATGCTTACAGACTTCATCAAGGAGGTGATGGCTTGGCACACACAGTTTTAAATGGCAAAATGTGATCAGATAAGCAGAGAAGATATAAGATAATATAGACTATTGTCTTCTTCAGGCTTTAGAATTTTGGAGGACAAAAGCCAGGCAGTGGTGTACTGGCCTTTAATACCAGCATTCTGGAGGCAGAGGCAGGCAGATCTCTGGAGGCTGTTTTAGAGGTGTGATAAGACTGCTACTGGGTGTGACCTTGTCTACTGCACATCTGTCTTCATACTCTTTCCATTAGTTCCACATGTATCTATTTCTCTGTAATCAGAATTCATTTACCTTACTAGTGTCAAGAGTTTTGAAAGTCAAAAGGAAGAATCACAGATTTCTAAACAAAACATTAAAATTTTCATCTCAGGATGGAAACCACTCTGCAGGAAAGAAAACTTAGAGCAAATTTTTCTAGGCTAAGCCACATGTTAGTATGTGATCGACTTAATATGGAACACAACATACCCATGCAGTAGCTGAGGTGATTTGTATAGCATTTTCCTTATAACTGGACTCTCTTCTACCATTTGATCATCTATGTGACCAAGAGAAGTTATCCAGACCCTCTTCATTTTGAGTTCCTCTTTTGTGACAGAAGGTCATTGACCGAACAAGTACTTGTTAAAGGCCTCCTCTGTGCCCTGCATAAGAAGTAATAATGAGTCAAAATAGAAAGTTCCATATGGAACTTGGACTTCAGTGAAGAAAAACAAAACACAACCACTTTATTTGATATTTACAAGCTGTGATAAGTGCTCCTAAAAATAAAGGAAAGAGATGTCGTGGGGTTCCGATTTATTCAAGGAGGAGAAAAAAGTTTTAGAAGTGAAATATTTGTGCAGTGCATGAAAAGTCTGTAGATGGGTTAGAAGAATGTGGAAGCTTCTGTTTGTGTCAGTGAATCTGTGTGTGTGTTCACGTGTACCCATGCTTGTATATCAAGGGAGTTTTGAAATGGAAAGAAGAGTATGTGAAGTTGATCCAGTGGGATGAGGCAGGGTGATACATCAAAGAAGATAGCCTCCATCCAGAGAACAAAGACAACCACAGTGCAAAGTGAGACTGCAAGCCTGAGTGGGAACAGAACGTCGAATGTGAGAGCATGTTGGGGTTATCAGACAAATTCGAAGGGAAAGCATATTGAACCATTCTCTTTCTTTTTATTTAATGTTCCATTTGGCTTCTTCTGATTGACTGGAGGAGGAATGGGTCCAAGTTCATGGTGGAAAGATGGTAGGTTCCACATCACTATCCAGACAAGGAATGCTCACAACTTAGTTTCAGGTAATGAACACAATGAAGCAACCATCATTTGAAAGCAATGACACCAGAAGAAACTGGTGATGAATTAAATATAAGTGGGGAAGAAGGTATGAAAGCTGATGCTATAATTTCTGTGTGAATGCATGGATGGCTAGAGTCAAGCATCCTCAAAGTATCACATGATATGAATGTAGCAAGTATATCAAGTTCTAACACAAAACACAACTCTCTCTTCAAGGAGAGTAGGAGAGAATACCAGTTTTTAGTCAAATATGAGTATCTATGGCCACAGAACACAATGGCAATGTGATTAATTCTGGCTCCTCCAAACACCACATTTCTGAACCATGATCACTAACATCTGGATCATGAACCATCATTTATTCTCTTTGAGGTGATAGCTGTATTTTGTTATTAATACTTTACATTCCTGGAAAAGCTTAGCACATTGGACATAAGCCATGGTGATCATGGGATTCCCTGTGAGCCCTCAAGAACTGTTGTTTAAGACCTTAGAAAGCTACAGTTATGGGATATTGGGAAGTCATTTACAAGAAGTTATTTGAAGCAGTAAGATTTAAGGAGATTATGTAGGAAGTAAGTACAGTGTATGACGGCCCAGGACTAAGCCCTGCAAAATTACATCTAGACAGGACAGGTTGACAAATGGCACAAGGGCTAAGGTGAGCTCTCTGAGGACACCAACAAGATGGTTATCACAGTAGCTAAGAAAGAAGTGTTTTGAGTAGAATAAACAGGAATTTCAGTGCTACCAGCCAACTAAGAAGGAGGAAGTCTGAGGAAATGTCGTTGGAATTGGGCAACATAGCAAACACAGCCTCATAGAAACCATCACCAAATCTCATAGTACTGTTACCATGGATATCTGAGGTACGTAGTCAACAATGGCAAGCTGTAGCCCTGAAAATTCAGGCTTGTATCCAACCCAAAGTAGAAGTACATTTTTAAGATCGTGAATCCTTCCATTATTATGGTCCCTTGCAATTTTCAAAGTGTCTATAACCGACATCTTCACATTTGATAGTAACAGTCCATCTCCCAGATTGCAGGCATACTCTCTTTACTTCAAGAATAATGAAACCGTGGTCCACAAAGTTTTAGTGATGTGACAAATGTCACACAGTTAGATCTGGGCAGAGGGCAAAAACCCAGACATCTTGATTTTTAACTTCAGCCAAGCAGGCTGGAGAGAGCTGCCCCAGGCTGCCTGACTTACAACAGAGAGAAATCTTTTAAAAGAAAAATAAAGCAATGCCATTCAAGCTGTTACCTGCAGCTCTTCTGGCTTAGAAAACTGAGCTCCAATGCACAGGAGGTCACTTGATGGGTTCTAGAAAGACTGTCTGCTCCAAATAAAATGATTTCTAAGAGACCATTGTCATTTGCCTTTCCTTTCCCAGGGGCCATTCTACTTTGTGGATAGCTACAGGTAGTCACACTTGACACACCACACAGCCAGATTTCTTCTAAAGTCCAGTGCTCAATTCTGAATGTTATTTTTAATAATGGCAAAGATAACCTTGAGGGTAGGACAAGGAAGGAGGGATGTCTTCTGGAGAGAAAGACTCAACAGTGTTGTAACAATTATTTTCCATAGATGAAAGAGACAACAAACTGCGTGTTTTGTTTAGTATATGCAGATGCTGAATAGAAATATATTTCCTTTCTTGCCATCTTCTTCTTCAATTCTGCTTCCCTCTCCTTTTCATTCTCTCTCTCTCTCTCTCTCTGTGTGTGTGTGTGTGTGTGTGTGTGTGTGTGTGTGTGTGTGTGTGCATGTTTGCATGTGTGAGGTTAGGGATAAGGAGGAAGAGGAGAAACAAACAAGGGAAATTCTTTTCTAGTCCTAAATGCTGCCTGATAGCATAAGATGACTGTGGAGGTCCTATGTACTTACCAACAGAGATGATGGAGACAAAACTAAAGAGGTACATTTACCATCTACTACAAACACAGATTACAAGACTGTTCTTTTCCAGGCAGGTAGCCAGAGTGGTGAACTGAGGTTAAGTGAAGGAATTCCAAGAAAATGCAACAAAATCAACAGACAAAATTGGAGGATGTACTAGATATTGGAGTTAGAGAAAATGATAGAAACTCATGAGAACATAACTGTTTTTGTACTTGTGTGTGTGTGTATACATACATATATATATATATATATATATATATATATATATATATATATATATTGTAGCTTACTATATTTCAGAAGTCCTTAAAGACATGTAGGACATTCTGACAGTAATTGTCTCAAGCCAGAAGTATTCAGGGAAAATGAGCCACTTACATGTTCTTGTATGTATGAAAGTTTGGCTGGTGTGTAAGTATGGCTAGAAACTTTAGCACATCAAATAAGGATGATCTATTTATAGCATGTAAAAAGGAATAGAATGTTTTTTCCCTGGTAGGAATAGTCTCATAATTTTTTTTTTTTTTTTTTTTTTTAGTTAAAAGGAGATTTATTTAATGGCGTAACTTACAAATTAAGGGATAGGTAGATCGCGGGGTCTGGGGAAGGTGTATCACAGTCCAGCGGTGTTCTCTGGAGCTCTGCTTGGTCCACCTCCACTATCCAGGGTCCCAGAACCGAGTGAGCGCCCCCCGATCCAGATCTCGGGTCTCCAGGCACCTCCCTTGGCCCTGCCTTGTAGGTGTGACAGTTGCCGAAGTCTCAATGGGGGTTGGAACTTCCAGATCAAAGCTGGAATGGTTACCCACTACAGCAGACCTTCTAGGTTCCAAGTCCAAGTGGCTCAGGTAATAGCCTCATTTCCCCCAGGGCACTACTCCTTTGTGACTTCACCCACTAAGTCACCCCCGGAGACAGTGCTGAATGTTCCATGCTAGAGTCTTGGCCTCTTAGGAGGCAGGGACAGCAGGCCTGGCCAGCTCAGAGGACTCTCTGTCCACAGTGTAAATGAGGACGCTGCTGGCCCATGTCTGGCAGGGATATAGAGGGCAGCCTCAGAGGCACTGGGCACTCCCGGCACCATGGATGACGCTGCCGTCCTCAAGCGACGAGGCTACATCATGGGGATAAACTTGGGAGAGGGCTCATATGCCAAAGTCAAATCCGCTTACTCTGAGCGCCTAAAGTTCAACGTGGCGGTCAAGATCATCGATCGCAAGAAAGCCCCCACGGACTTCCTGGAGAAATTCCTTCCTCGGGAGATTGAGATTCTGGCCATGCTAAACCACCGCTCTATTGTCAAGACTTATGAGATCTTTGAGACCTCTGATGGCAAGGTCTACATTGTCATGGAGCTTGGGGTCCAGGGTGACCTCCTTGAATTCATCAAAACCAGAGGAGCCCTGCAAGAGGATGATGCTCGTAAGAAGTTCCATCAGCTTGCCTCGGCCATCAAGTACTGCCATGATCTGGATGTTGTCCACCGAGACCTCAAGTGCGAGAACCTTCTGCTTGACAAGGACTTCAACATCAAGCTGTCTGACTTCGGCTTCTCCAAGCATTGTTTGCGGGATGATAGTGGTCGACTGACATTAAGCAAGACCTTCTGTGGGTCAGCGGCTTATGCGGCCCCCGAGGTTCTGCAGGGCATCCCCTACCAGCCCAAGGTGTATGACATCTGGAGCCTGGGTGTGATCCTCTACATCATGGTCTGTGGCTCCATGCCCTATGACGACTCCGACATCAAAAAGATGCTACGCATCCAGAAAGAGCACCGCGTCAACTTTCCACGCTCCAAACACCTGTCTGGTGAGTGCAAGGACCTCATCTACCGGATGTTACAGTCAGATGTCAACCGGCGGCTGCACATTGATGAGATCCTCAGCCACTGCTGGGTGCAGCCCAAGGCACGAGGTCTGTCCTCTGTAGCCATCAACAAAGAGGGAGAAAGCTCCCGGGCCACTGAGCCCCCATGGACCCCTGAACCCACTGGTGCCGATAAGAAGTCTGCCACCAAGTTGGAGCCTAGGGAAGAGGCACGGCCCGAGGCCCAACCTGAGACAAAACTCCAGGAAGATGTTGTGCAAGTGGCCAAGCAGTCAGAGACCCTGGGCCTTAACAGTGAACTGAACAGGGAGACAGAGGAAGGGCACCCCCAACAGCCTCCAGAGACACATACCTAGTGAGCCTCTTGCAGCCCAGGGGGCCAGCAGGGAATGAGGCAGAGCTCATCATGGCTTGAAGCCTGAGTCTAGAAGTCAAGGGACGAGAGAGAGAAGGAAGACAGTCCCGGATGAGCTGCTATTTTCGTCACTTTCTTCTCCCCCCTTTGAACTTGGTAACTCAACATGGCTAGAGAAGCAAAAATCACTATAATGGTGCAGACCCTGGTCCTGGGCTCCCCTTGGCTTCCTATTAGACCCCAAATCCTCATAAGGAAATTCACTCCCACGCCCCCAGCCCAGACTGTATCCTCAGGCCATGGTTGAGTTAGCAGTAGCAGACAGAGGCTGGTTGGGAGGATTTAAGAGGGGCGGAGGCCAGGGAAGATAGCTAAGTGAGGAAGACACAACTTCTGGAGGGGAGCCGAGAAGTGCAGAGAGGGACAGGGCTGCCTGCAGAGGAAGGGCTGGAAACCAGAGCCCTCTCTTGCACCGGAGGGCTTGCACCGGAGGGCTTGCACCGGAGGGCTTGCACCGACTGCATCAGGAGCTCAGGGGCTAGGCAGGTGTTTCATCATTACCCCAGGGCTTCTGGCTGCACAAACCTGCCTGTAGGGGGCTGAGGGAAGACTACGGAAGGCAGGTTGACCCCCATAGTACCTTTTGGGCTCCCCAAATTGCTTTGCAGCTGGTTTTTCCGTTCTGCCCATCAAGGGATATGTCCCTCCATGTCCAGCTGGCACCCAGTTCTCAACTATGCCTTTAGTTGCTCCACATCACCATTTCTCAGCCCAGAAATAGGGGGCTCCACTAGTTAACCCAAGAATGTCCCACAGCTCTGTATAGCTTTGGCTGCATCCCATTCTCTTCCAATCTCAATCTGTTCCAGAGGAGATGCCCTCAGTCAGAGCTGGAAGCAGACCTTGGCAAAGCAAAATTGTCAGCATGTCTGAACCTTATAGGCAAGGGAGGCAGCTACTGGTATTCCACATGGGTGTGGCCTGCATCTGGCACCACTGGCTGCCATGTGCCGCTTGCCTTGCTGACACCATGTCCCAAGCAGTCCTCACCTTGCGGTTGTGGCTCCTTTCTCTTCACCTCACTCTGGGCAACCTCAGGGAGGTCAATTCACCTCTGAAGACTATGCCAATGTCCCTGGGCTCAGCCTAGGGACTCAGTCTTCTTCAAAGCCTCCTGGGACCAAGCAACGCTCTGTAGCCCGCCTCTGTGAATTTTGCCTGGGTTATGTCACTTCCTCTTGGAAGCCTTCTGTCCTGCCTCCTCTACTAGAAAGAGGCCTTCTTGCTTTCCCTCTGAACACAGCATCCTTGGGTCACATCTTGGCAGCTCACTGTAAGCGTAAGACTCTTTGTGGAGAGATTCCTTCCTAGGGAGATGGACATCCTGGCGACTGTCAACCACCGTTCCATCATTAAGACCTACGAGATCTTTGAGACCTCTGATGGACGCATCTACATTGTCATGGAGCTGGGCGTCCAGGGCGACCTCCTCGAGTTCATCAAGTGCCGAGGAGCCCTGCATGAGGATGTGGCACGTAAGATGTTCCGCCAGCTCTCCTCGGCCGTCAAGTACTGCCATGATCTGGATGTTGTCCACCGAGACCTCAAGTGCGAGAACATTCTGCTTGACAAGGACTTCAACATCAAGCTGTCTGACTTCGGCTTCTCCAAGCGCTGCCTGGCCGCAGCGGCTCGGTGACCGTGAGAACCAGCAGGAAGAGCAGCAGGAAGGCACCGCTGTCTGCCTTGGGCACCATTTATCCTCCGTTCATCGTCCCGGGGCAGCGGCGTGACCCCGCGGGGAGGCCGGACCTGGCCCAGATGAGGGCGTGAGGCCGGACTCTGGCCGGGGACAGAGAGGTGGCGGGCGAGGGATCCGGCTGGGCCGCGGCGACGCTGGGCAGCTGCAGGGGGACGCCGCCGACTCGCGCGCACTCTAGGCCGCAGGAGCGGGACGGGATTCCGGCTCCTCATAATTCTTTTGATGTCTTTATTTAGCTTAATGGATTTCATTGCATATCCCTTGCTTTCCATTCAGGTATTTTTAAAATTATTTTTTATTGATTATTTGGGAATCTAATCTCACATCATGCACACTGATCATGCTCACCTCCTAGTCTTCTCACGTCTGCCTCCTCTCTCCTGTGACCTCCCCTGCCAGATTAAAAAGAGTTCATTTTGTGTTTTCCATATATTCACTAGAGCATGGTCAGATTCCTATTGACCAGTCCCCTAAAGGAGGATTAATCTTTCTCTGGTGACTCTGTGTTAGGAGTCATCAACTGAAGAGAGCTTTGTGGTGACCAGAGCCAGCTCTCCATTGTCCATGCCACTGCCTGCACCATAGTGTTGTAGGCCAATGAAGGGTGGGGATAGTTCTCCTGTGAGGGGCTGGGCTAGGTCTACTGCACACACTGTTAATGCAGTTTCAGGCGGCAGTCCAGACTATGTCATCCACATGGGATTCAGTGGTAACACTGAACATAGACATCAACATGGACCTTGGCTGTATCAGGACCACTGATTCACTCATGGCCCTCAGTGGCTGCATGGGCCATGAGTCTTGACATGTTTTCAGGTGGTTATACATGTCACTCACATCAGTATGGCACCCTGAGGCAGCAAAGCCTGAAGACATCACCAAGCCATCAGGTAGTGGCACAGAAGGCACATGTCCACATGGGTCTCAGGTTTTATCATGGCCTGGAGTAGCAGCATAGACCATCAACACTAACATGGCCTCTGGTGGCATCATGGGCATGGTAGTCCTCTGAAGAAGTTCCGTTGAGAAAGTGAACCTTCCCTCATCTCGGGCCTCCATTGTTGACCAGAGCCAGGGGGCTCACTCTGTAAGGTGGTAGGTTTGGGGCTGAGCTTGTGTCTCCTTAAGCTCTAGGCTGTTGTATACCATCCAGCCCACCCTACTGGGTAGTGACAGCATGGAGATGTTAGCCCCTTCTCTCACCTGTCACTGCCATCATATTTCCAGTTCTGCCTCTCTCCATAGTGCATGAGCTGCTCCATTTTGTGATCTTTCCCATCTCTCTATCACATATTTGTTCTTTGTAGTGGTGCCTGCTACCACTGCCCAGGCCACAAGGCCAGAGGTGGCACTTGGCTATAAAAAGCAAGGTTTATGAAAGATTTGAGCACAGGAAAATATGTTTTGATTGTCTGAAAAAAATGTGTACAAACTCTCTCTTTCTAGATTCACAAGTAAAAGCCTGCAGGAGCAAATGGAATCTCTGAGTAAAAACTCTAAGGATTTGGTTTCTTTGGGTGGACCTTAAGGAGGGGCCTGGACTCTGAACCCAAGACTATGTGCTGTATGGTATCAAGATAGTGTCACAGGAAGATGGACATGAAGAGTTTGATGGTTTAAATAAAGCACACATTATATGGAGTGAACCATATAATATATAGGAGGTGGGCCAAAGCAAGACAAAAATCACACCAGAAGCAAAATGTTGTCAGTATTTAATTACACATCCAGAGAATTTGCCTCCCTTGTTTATGACAATCTAACCAACTTCAGTAAACTGAACAGAAAAAAGACCAACTTTCAAAAGTATAACCTTTTCTTCTTATCAAAAGGTTGTAGTTAACTTTATTTTTTAATTTTTTGAGGTTATATTACATTTTTTCCTTCTTCCCTATTATCTCTGCATGGGGCTGATCCAGATCCTCTATGGATATGTTATTGCGGTGTTTTTGTGAGACTCCTAACAGTGAGAGTTGGTGTATCTCTGACCCCTTTGCCTACTCTTGGGACTCTTTTCTTTGTATTGAGTTGCTTTATCCAACCTTGATATGAAGGCTTTAGTCCTGTCTTAATCTATCTTGTTTTGTCTTCTGTGGCTGTCATCTCTTGGAGGCATGCTCTTTTCTAAAAAGGAAAGGTTGTTTTTTAGATGTACTTACTAATTGGGCCTTGGCATGTGATGGTCATTTACTCTCTGCAATTTGATTGGTTGTGGGTGTCTGTACTAGCCTCTTTCTGCTGGGAAAAAAAGCTTTTCTGGTTAGACGTGAGAGCTGTACTTACATGTGGATGTAGTGATAAGTATTTAGAAGGAAAATCGCAGTAGTAGGTTCTCCTCTAGGATCTGTGACTTCTCCATCCACCAGTAGTTGACTATATTACAGCACCAGGCATGAGACTGAGCAAACCTTAAGTTCATTCTTCATCTTTCATAATAACTGATGCAGTATAAATGCATACATTCCCATGGTGAAAGAACTAAAGCCTAGAAATGTTTCAATAATATGACCACATTTTAGAGTTGGAGATGGTGAGTTTTTCTAGGGGTAGAGTTGGCCTTGACTATGCTGAGGTCAAAATCTAAGAGTAGAATTTATCAAGGAAGTCACTTAAAGCTAAACATTTAGAGGGGAAGAGATTGTCATTATAGCCTGAGAGATTTGAGAAATGACAGGGATGTGAAGTCCAAAGCTCCATGTACCTTGAGACATGAAATTCTCTTTATATTTCAAAAGTGAGAACCCGAGATAAGACTTGTGGTTAAGCATCTGTGAACACACTTAGGGGAAACGAGGACATGCAGTTAATTACCTGGTTCACAGGTGTCCCCAGGATGCTTTCATTAGAACACTGAGGTAACTGAGCTAAAATACTCGTGATGAATTCTGCCAATAATTCCACTAGCTTTGATCCTTTCTGTGTCCAGACACAGAGGTTGTCTTTAGGTGTTCTTTAGAAAAAACCCCATACCTCCTGGCTTGAAAATCTACTTTGCTTCTTACCCTCTTCTCTCTTTAATTTGGTCATGGTAAAATGTGAGGTAACTGCTGACCTTGCCCATGCAAATCGTCAAAATTCTGTTACATTAGTCCTGTTGAAGGCATGAGATCAAGTGGCAATTGGCAGAATCAAATATTGCTTACCCAACATTACTGAATATCAACATAATATTAAGATAAAAGTCATGATATGCAAAATGAAAATTCCTCCTAGGAATATTAGCTGGTTCACCTTGTCTACCATTTGATAGGTCATGCATATTGATAATGTAGCCTGCTCCACAT